ACGAAAGCAAAAAAAAAAAAAAAAAAAAATCTTACGATGTTCGCAAGTTCACTTAGGTTCAAGTGAATATCCCCAAAGCACCAACCTTATAGAAGACATCCGGGACGTACTGACCGCTTGAGGATTCCCGGATATAGCCTAGGCCTGGTTCGTCTATTGTGGGTACCAGGCAGTCATCGCGTACTAAAGCCATGCATTGATTAGACACCTGAGGAGAACGTGAAAAAGAATCCAGTCAAACCCCTTGGGGACAGAGAAAAGTGGTCGTTGCCGCGAGATGGCCGTTATGGAGAGGTAGGGGTGTAATATGACACCTGTTTTTTCGGGGGTGCAACATTTTCGTATTTAAAAAATGCTTATTGTTGCATAGAAATACCTAACACAATCAAAATATACTAATAAGACAGAAGCGACGTGCGGTGCAGATCAAGTTCCGTGACCGTTTACAATATAACATAGGGTTTAAACTTTGTTTTGGTATACATCGTTCGTCAGTCGTTGATTAACTGGCTGTTGTGTTCAGGTTATTTTGGTGGTTTGGGACGCGCTTTGGTGGTCGTTGCCATCGTCGAGAGGTGGCCGTTGTAGAGAGCTTACAATGAGAGGGAATGCATGGACTGTCCGCCGGGACCAAAAAAAGTGGCCGCTACAAAGAGATGGTCGTTGTAGGGAGGTGGCCGTTGAAGTGTAGGTTCAACTATACACACAGTATCAACAAAGACGAGAGAGACTTGTCTGATGGACGAAGAGAGCAAAACTGTACCTGAAAGCCATCAAAGCCCACTTGGTTGTCCATATTGCCTACAACACAAACCAAAAAGAACGTGTTTTAGGCGCAAAGTTTGTGCCGGCAGGTTGAATGAAACAGTGCACCGGTTTCAGTCGAAAACACTAATATCTGGCAATTTATTATTATGTACTCTATACAAAATCTGTCATCCTCGCTGCCGAGACGCGGATTGAGGCATCCAAAAAACAATGGAAAAACAAGCTTGACTAGTTGAGGTCATCTTGTTTTGGATTTTGGACGCCATTTTGTTTTGGCTGTCGTCATCCAGCGACAGACAGACAGACAGACAGACAGACAGACAGACAGACAGACAGACAGATAGATGGACAGACAGACAGACAACATAGCAAGATTAAAATTAAAGCACAGTAGCTCATGGGGTCGTGCAAAAAAAACATAATAAAATAAGAATTAAATTAAACTTCGTAAAAAGTGTATACATGATAGATACAATTAACCTAAAATTTGTCGAATTTTGCAGTCGGATCAGTGCTCCATCATAAGAAAGAGTAAAACAAACTGCGGGAACAAACTAAACGTTTTCTGGAGAAAGCGCAAGAATGTCGGAGGCGTTAACAGACGGAGAACATACCTGAAACAACAACAGTGGAAAACTTCGATCCAAACTTGCCATTAGACGATAATTTACACGGTGAAGGGTGTTGATTCTGTAACTGTCCTGCGAGGATGCACTCTTCGGCTGTGAGGAAGTGCGTATTGATATCTCGTAGGTGTTTTACCGTGCCCTTCCGAACATCATCTGCTACAAGGTCTGTAAATATCCAGCCGACCTTCTGAAGGCCAAGCTCAGCGGCTAGTTTATCGACGACTGCCTCAGCGGGGTCTGGTAAAAGCTTTATACTGTCTGGTGTATCTTCCTGAAAAATTGTCACTTTTTAAATAAGGCCCAAATAAGTCACCGACGCGCGACCGACGCACTGCCGACATACCACCGACGCATCTTTTACACGTTATAAGGATACACAGTGGCCAACCCGTCGGGCGACTATCGGCCGACTGTTGACCGACCCTTTGGTGGGACCGGGTTCTTTACCTTGACCCAGAACTGTGTGCATATTTACACTTAGCAATACGCTCTTGATTTTCATATTTATCAAGTAGATTGTGAGCTCGAGATTTCTATGAGGTAATAGTTGATGAGGCTGAAGGCCGAATCAACTATCAACTCATAGAAATCGAGAGCGAATAATCTAATTGTTTTAGCAGAATTCTTCCTTAAATTTCCTTCAGCTAACCATTTCCAATTGTTTTTGTACAACGCATTTAACTTAACGCTTTAGAAAAATCGCGCGGACTGAATTGTCGTTTGGAATTTCCTGTTGTTTACGCGCGCTCATCAGTTTTTTCAACATTTTCTAATTTTTTAAAGTCACAAAACTGTGAATGCCCTTCAGTTTAGTCTTCTCAGAAGTTTAATTATCCATTTGTATTTGAATCCCGGGGGGAGGGGGGTACTCCCTTATATGGGCTATATAGGTATGTGCGGCCCCAAAGGGTATGGTTTTTCAGCCGTTTTGGTCATAAAAAGGGTATCGATTTTAGCTGATTTTGGCCATTTTGGCCATAAATAGGGTATGGTTTTTGCACTCTAGCCTTGATATGGGTATGCTTTTAAACGAAGCCACTTTTTCGCCATTATCGAAAAGAAAATCAACAAAAGCGCTTCACAAATTATGTTTACGGTAATCTAACATTGGTCTGAACTAGTTAACTTATTATACCGCAGGTCTGAAACAGGGTTTTGANCACAATATGACGCTGTTATTGGAAAATTGTCAGTGCTTATAACAACGTTAAATGTGGCTGCTATAAACTTACGGTGCTATCTGCTGTTGTTGCTGCCAAGGAAATGCCTCTCTCCTCCCCCGGTGTCTGTATTTGGGAGGTGTATAATATACACTTCCAAAATATAAAGAGTATGCAGGTCTGGAAAATATCCATACTACCCCCACAGAGGGGATTAAAATTTCCAGTGGGGTGGGGGTTCTTAGAGAATTTCCCTTTCGTGAAGGAGGTATTTAGATATTACTACAATAGTACTATAAATAGTTGCATGGAAGAAAAACTAACTAACTGTCCCCAGCGTGCCACGTGGCACCTAGGGCCGCATGGGACACAAAGCAAACATTTGAAAGTAAATCTGCTTGCCTGATTTCCTGTTTTTCTCCAGTAGTTCAGAAATGGTTCCACAATAAAGGGATTTTCAAATAAGATGTTATCTACATGTCTGTACACCTGCAAGAAAGAATAAAATGTGGAAAGCCATTTAACAAATTGCACTCCAAAAAATCTAAATGTTACTTCAGTAAAAACTTATGGTGAAAATACCCTTCTCGAGGTGATTCCTTAGGAATGCAAAAATTTGTGCGTAACTAGGACGTGCACACCAAGCAAATGGCAGCTTTTTCTTTGTGGCTTAGCTTGCCACAAACACAAATGGTCACTTCTAAAAAAATGGTTGTGGTGACCTATAATTTTTTTCTTTATATTGAGTCTAGCAACATTGAACACGGAACCACAGCCTTATTTAAAATGGACACAATTTGTGCCACAGTTGCACAGAAGACTCAAAGATTGTAGCTTTACTTCAAGTATTATCTTCACCAGGGTTTTTGAAAAATCCTCAACCTCATATATGACCATACTAAAATCAACTCTTGTAATGATCCTTGAAGGATCTCTAATTTCTTTAGAATCATTGGCAGGTCTTTAAAGATTTCCAAAGAGCCTTAGTTATATTTTCAACTCTGAGCTCAAATAGGAATTCTCCTTACAGAATGCATTTTGTGTTTCAGTGTTTATTCAGAGAATTTAGTGATAGATCGATATTATCCAATGGTTAATGATCTTCTTCATTAGCTTCCCTCTAGGGAGAAATAAAAATTAATGTTGATCATTCTGAGTCTTATATATGAGTGTTTAAACAACTTACTTGTCTCTTCAGTGTAATAGCACTAGGTTGACATTTTGTACAAATTCCACCAGGCCATGGTGGATGTTCTGTACATCCAGGTTTTATTCTACAACTAGTGTCCTCCAGTACTGTAAACTTTCCTCTATTTCCAAGAAAATATTCAAAGAAAATATCCATCACTTGGCATCCTATATTATTTAGGTGAATAAATACTTGAAACCTTTGAGAAAAATAATTTAAAAAGTAGATCTCAAAATAGGTTGATAATATAACCACCCTAAAATAGAGTATTAGTTCTTGGGTGCTCTAATTTGGTTTGAAACTCTCACCCGTTTTTACTTATTTGGCCCATGCCTGCTCATGGCTGAGTAAAATTCACATGCAAGTTTCATTTTTTAAATATGCAAAGTTCTATGGGTGACTCTTGTTCTCATATGAAATTCCTTAAGTGCAATTTGTTGCATGATCACCCACCTGTCTGTACCTCCACCTAGCTTCTTAAGGAATGCATGGAATGACATGTGTTTGATGGGCGGCTTGTGATTCTTTAAGTACTCTTCATCATAAGGCTAACAAAATAACAAAACAAAAAGTGTATCAAGGGATGGTGAATGGTAAAAAATTAATGCCCAACTTTGCGATAAGGCGAGACTAGCATTATTCTTTGCAAGCCTGAGACATTTAAACATTTAAATTGCCAGACCAAGACTTCAGTGTTTTAACTATGAGCGACAAACTAACAAACAAAATTGGGACTTTGAGTTTTTCTTCACCTTGCCAAAACTCGAAACTCCAAGATGGCTTTGTGAAAAAAATCAAGAACTTGTAAGACACACACATAGCCGCTAAAAGACTGAAACTATGACTGAGACAATTTGCTGAGACCCATGGTTTGTGAAAGACCTTTCGTCACAATTTTTTTGACTGATCAGATAACTGGTAAACATGCAACTGTTCTCTATGGTCAAAATATATCCTGCACAGCAAAATGCACTTGATACATAGGAGATAATACATGGGCGTGCACAGATATGGAATTTCAGTGGTGTTAAATATATAATAAAATCAGTTACAATAATTGCAACTGATTTTATTATTTTTATTCTTTTTTATTATTATTTTTTTATTGTCCATCATACCCTTATCAGGCAATGTCAAACTCATTAGTTTAATGACTGGGCAAGTGAAAATAATGCACATCAACCAATGATGACAGTGGTTTCAATATCTGGCTTTAATCAACATAAATTTTTGACAGTGCTATTTCTTTATTTCCATAGTTTTTCCATAGTTTAACTGTAAATATAATAAAATAAGTTAAATAATAATTATGGTTGATGTGTGTTTCATCTCAATAGACTGTAAGCAGTCTCTTTCTTTTCCTAGCATGCACGAAGTTAAAAGTTTCAAAAGTGTGCAATTGAGTTGCAAGCACCGAAGCCATGAGCTGCGAGAGGTGCAGGCATAGTTTTTTTTCCTGCCTCTCCCCATTCCCTCCTCATTTTGTTCCTAATTTATATAATATTAACTAAGTTCTGCACGCAGAGGATTTCAGGAACAAAAACCACTACTTAAAACTACTTGTAGTCAACATTTCCAAAGACCTCAGATTTTATCACAAACACTATCCTGCATAACGTTATTTCAACTCTCTTCTGGCAAATGATGTGATGAAANCATCCAGGTTTTATTCTACAACTAGTGTCCTCCAGTACTGTAAACTTTCCTCTATTTCCAAGAAAATATTCAAAGAAAATATCCATCACTTGGCATCCTATATCATTTAGGTGAATAAATACTTAAAAAACCTTACAGAACAATAATTAAAAAAGTAGATCTCAAAATAGGTTGATAATATAACCACCCAAAAATAGAGTTTTAGTTCTTTGGTGCTCTAATTTGGTTTGAAACTCTCACCCGTTTTTACTTATTTGGCCCATGCCTGCTGACGGCTGAGTAAAATTCACATGCAAGTTTCATTTTTTTAAATATGCAAAGTTCTATAGGTGACTCTTGTTCTCATATGAAATTCCTTAAGTGTGATTGGTTGCATGATCACCCACCTGTCTGTACCTCCACCTAGCTTCTTAAGGAATGCATGGAATGACATGTGTTTGATGGGTGGCTTGTGATTCTTTAAGTACTCTTCATCATAAGGCTAATAAAATAACAAAACAAAAAGTGTATCAAGGGATGGTGAAGGGTAAAAAATTAATGCCCGACTTTGTGATAAGGCGAGACTAGCATTATTCTTTGCAAGCCTTAGACATTTAAACATTTAAATTGCCAGACCAAGACTTCAAAGTGTTTTAAATATGAGAGACAAACTAACAAACAACATTGGGACTTTGAGATTTTCTTCACCTTACTAAAAATCGAGACACACACACATAGCCACTAAAAGACTGAAACTATGACTGTGACAATTTTCTGAGACCCATGGTTTGTGAAAGACCTTTCGTCATAATTTATTCAACTGATCAGATAACTGGTAAACATGCAACTGTTCTCTATGGTCAAAATATATCCTGCACAGCACAATGCACTTGATACATAGTGGATACTACATGGGCGTGCATGGATATGGAATTTCAGTGGTGTTAAATATATAATAAAATCAGTTACAATAATTGTAACTGATTTTATTATTTTTGTTATTTTATTATTTTTATTCCTTTTTATTATTATTTTTTTTATTGTCCATCATACCCTTATCAGGCAATGTCAAACTCATTAGTTTAATGACAGGGTAAGTGAAAACAATGCAGATCAACCAATGATGACAGTGGTTTCAATATCTGGCATTAATCAACATAAATTTTTGACAGTGCTATTTCTTTATTTCCATAGTGTTAGTTTAACTGTAAATATAACAAAATAAGTTAAATGATAATTATGGTTGATGTGTGTTTCATCACAATAGACTGCAAGCAGTCTCTTTCTTTTCCTAGCCTGCAAGAAGTTTCAAAAGTGTGCAATCGAGTTGCAAGCACCGAAGCCGTGAGCTGCGAGAGGTGCAGGCATAGTTTTTTTCCCTGCCTCTCCCTATTCCCTCCTCATTTTGTTCTCTAATTTACATAATATTAACTAAGTTCCGCATGCAGAGGATTTCAGGAACAAAAACCACTACTTAAAACTACTTGAAGTCAACATTTCCAAAGACCTCAAATTTTATCACAAACACTATCCTGCATAACGTTATTTCAACTCTCTTCTGGCAAATGATGTGATGAAAAACTACCTCTCCTGTTTGACATAAAATCCACTCAGATATAGGTTGCTTCTTACATTGGATTCCTGTGCAGACACCTTCAATTTCTCAAATCCTACAATTTTATTTGACATAAAAAAATTTTCACAGAACACTGCTACTGACAGTGACTTCATGACCTGTACTTTTTCCAAGAATCTTACCTCAAGAGGTACACAATGAATACATTTGCTGTTTGGATTGTGATGACATCTGTAAAATATGCAGCATGATTATATTAAATGCTTCATTCTTTGCAGCTACAAAAAGATCAACTTGTAACTTGATCTATCAAAGTAGCAAATTATACTGATTTGTTTTAGTCGGCATCAATACATGAAGTACAGTGTTGAGCAGGCAGCAAATAATTTACCCCAAGCAAAATTACTAGCTGCTGACACATTTTTATAGCAGAGCTCCGGCAGCGCAAAGGTCTGCCACGTAAAGCAGCATACTCATAGGAACTCCTGAATTACTTTTCTTATGGTCATCATGGCCAGCTGAATTGCTCGTGGGTATGTATGCCTGACGACAATGACGATGAAGATATTGATGACGAGGACCATGATGACCAAGTCACACAACATGGCGGCCATACTCCAGCTAATAGGTCGACCAGGGCATGCAGCCTTGGTTTACAGAGTACATCTTTGATATTGGAAATCCATGTTATGGTCAATTGACACCTGTCAAGTATCCACTGACCAGTATCACGTGACCATATCAATGGCTCAAGTTTGGAGCTTATCGAAGTTGATCACTGCCCAGGTACTGATTTTCAATTGGACCACAGGCCCAAGCCAGGTTACCTTATTGTAATCAGGAGCTCCATTTTTGAGCTTGGCTAAATCTATATTATACTAGGACAGAGTGCACTAACCAGTTGGCTACCCCAATTCCCAACTTTACACATGTGGCTCTTATCGAGTAATAAGACAGTAATATGGTAGAGATCACTTCTTGCAGAGCACTGAAAACTTTTATCACCCTACGACTATTCTTTCAAGACTTCCTACTTACAGCTGAGGATCTCGTTCTCTATGGATTAGACCATTTTGCTTGGAAAGAAAACTATCTATTTCATCTTCCTTGACATTATTAGATGAGGTAAGGTGAGCTGAATTTGCTGGCACCTCTTTATCAGCTGCTGAAATTTCCTGAGACAAGAAAAGCATATCACCATGCCTGACAAGAAAAAAGGAAAAAGGTTAGTAAAGAATTTATCTCATGCCTTGAGAACTATAGCCAATAGCTTCTACAAGTACTTGACAATTCTTTTTCAACAAACAAGTCATGTAAACTCATGCCCCAAAACTTTTTTTGTCAGAGTCCCCGATCCTTTCTGGGCTCAATCTGTACTGTCATGACAGGACTACATAATTACAGCTGAACCTCGATTATCTGTACTTCGATTATCCAAATTTCTCAATTATCCGGACTTTTTCTCCAGTCCCAATTATGCCATGAAAATTTGTTAGTCATGATCAAGATCCGTAGCCATATTCTTTTCAAAACTACAGCATTGAAAAGTGCAGTCAAAAGTGAGTCTGTTGTGCTTTCAAATTTAAGAGTAAAAGTAGTACTGTGTAATACACACTGTAAAGGTATTCACAATGGACAGTGAAGTTGTAGACCATATTGTTTTCCAAATGATTTGTAAAAGTGTTGTTTCATGTTTAACTGTTGCTTTCTTAATTTAATTAGTTTTGTTCTTCATTAACATTCATATTTTCGATTATCCAGACCCTCGGTTATCCGGATTATTTCATCTAGTCCCAACAAGTCCAGATAATCGAGGTTTGACTGTATATATCTATGCACCTGTAATCTAAAGAGATTACTAATTACATGTATATGTTCAACATACTTTATTCCAAGTGAAGACAGAGTCTTCCGTGTAGAGGTCTTAATCTCTCCCTTTTTGTCTCTATTTTGAAATAGGGTCCATCCTCTTCTTGGAAGGGCAAGCTCTTCTGCAACCTAACCAATCAAATTTACACTCTTGAGTACATGGTACACAAATTGATTCCTCTAGATGGTTAAACCAGGCGGGCAAGAATATCCTCACAGCTGGTCAATTTTCCTGTTACCCAGCTCTTAATGAAACCCCTGACACTGACCTTTTAGTTAATAGACTTGTCAAAGATTTCATGAGGAAAGTAGATGTCTCATTTGATTGACAAGACCCTGGGCATGTTAATGCTACCAACCTCCTGCCATCCTCAAGGATTGGCTGAGGGGCGACAACCCTCAGGATGGATGCTGATAACTGCATTACGATTTAAAAACCTGTCATCAGCATTTTAAGGTCATATCAAGTTTGCCCAGTGGGTCAACAAAATGCTAAACTGAATGTCTAATTTATCTCTGATCACAACTGCTATCAAATTGTTGAGATCAGCAGTTACAGCTTCATTTTGAAAACTGCAACGAATACCGTCCAAACAACAGTACAAATATACAGCAATATTGTACAGATATTTGTACAGTAAAAAAGCTGTATGCCGTACAGGTTGGAGCACGCATGCAAAACTCTCACACTCTCCCTCTTTCATTGATAAATTTATTGACTACAGCAGTTGGATAATACATCTCTAATTAGGTGTTTTGGTGTGTAGTATCGCTTTATATTTTTTACTTGTTGTTTGTATTTTGACTCACCCTGCTGGCTTGTCAAAATACGGCACAACTCGTAAAAATATACAGCGATACTACACACCAAAACATCTAGTAAGATATATATATTGAAAACTGCATGGGAAATAAAAGTCATCGTCTACAAAAATAAGGCTCTGCCAAGGTTACCTTATACTTGTTAATTTCTCATAGATAACTAACCAAGGAACGATTCACATGTTAATATGTGATCAATGCCATGAGCACATTTAAATTTCTCGCATGGTGTGATGGAGAGTACTCACTTGCTGCAATCAAAGATTTCCCCAAAATGGTTTATAAAATATACTGAATTATTGCTATTGCTTACAGGACAATTATGCTTAAGAAGAAGAACAGCCACAGTTGTACAAAGTACTGTACACACACAGCTGGCTGTCACAGTTGCAGTATGACCTTTCAAACTTTTATAATCTTAAAATTTAGCCTATTATTGGGATGTTTGGACTCAAACTGTATGTGCTTCGGATTCCTTTTCCACTCAAACCAAGCGTTCTGGCCAAATTGAGGTTTCTTTAAAAAAAATTCCGGTATTAAGCTTTAAGTACATGCATGTACATTTGTAAATTTTAAACTTTTACAGAAGCTTTTCTTTGATCGTGCATGTACGCATACAAGGAAGTCTGCACTTCAGTCCCACGAAACAAAGCTCCGTGTAGAAACCGTTAGTTTAACGACATTGGATGACTTGATAATTCCCCACAAGGGTGTCTTACCTTAGTTAGAAATGAGGAGATAGTGTCCGTGATACAGCACTTTATTCTACATGTCCCTTCACGGGATTGCACACGAACAATCTATGGCAAAGGAAACATAGAAAACAGATTACACTGCAGTAGCACAGATAAGAGGAATCGTTCACTTAAAAATGACTCATTACTTACAATTTGAGACATGCTGTTGTCTTCAGGAAGTAGATTTAGTCCAATTTTATTTCGCTTTTCTTTTCCCTCGCCATGGCATTACGTGTAACCGAGTGATGTAATTTGACGCCAGAGACTAAGTTCAAGTTTGGACGAGAGGTACTGGGACATAGCTTTCTTATCGTTGAACCGCCATTTTCAAAACGTCTGTTTAATTTCGAGGGACCGGTCATGGCTGAGTTAAACTATGATTTCAACATGAACCAGTTTAAGAATCGGTTGGAGACATTTAAAGACTGGCCCTTTACTGAGGAGACGGGCTCTAGTTGCACTGCTAGGAAGGTATATGCCGTTTTTCTGACTTCGAGACAACGCAGTTCACTACAGAACGTCTTCTGTTCACGGTGTAGACTTAAACTTTTTTCGCAACAAAACTGTTCTTTTTGTCTCGTCAGATGGCAGAAGCAGGATTTTTTCATTCTTCCAACGATCGTGATCCTGATATTGCGCGCTGTTTTGTTTGTTTCAAGGAACTTGAAGGATGGGAACCTGAGGACAATCCTTTGTACGTAGGAACTTTACGAAATTTACTCGTATATAGCTACTATAAGCTTGTATAGCAAAACAGAAGCTTATCACCCCGCTCAAGGTGACAAGCTGGCTGGTGTAAGAGAGAAGTGTGAAACCTCTTATATGGTGGGGACTTTGACGGGGACGGCAACACGACACGGGGCGGGGAGGTAGGTGTAAGTCAGAGATACAAACCTAAAAAAATTAAATCGAAATCCGACAAATCACCAATTTTTCCTTCTTAAACCCTGACAAAAGTTCGAAGTAGAGCTTCGCCAATTTAGGCAGAAAAACGCATCAAAGGTCCAACGTTTTTTTTTTTTAAAAAATGTCTTGCACTGTATTTTGTAAGCTGCTCTTTATTTCTCAGCCTTGGTCTATTTTCTGATGGAGTGAAACAGACTTTATGATGACGTAATTAAACGTATAAATGACAACTTGTCAAATGTCTTGTTTTTCATTCTTTTAGGGAAGAGCACAGGACTCACTCACCAAAGTGTGAATTTCTGTCATTAAACAAGAAAGAAGAAGACTGGACAGTGGAGGACTTCCTTGAGCTAGAAACCAAAAGACAAATCAACAGAATGGTAATATTTTCTATTAAATTAGCCAAAGGCTTGTTGCTTCCTTTTATTAGTGCAAACTTATTCTACGCATCACAAGATGGTTCTGGTCTTTGTTTTAGGTGTTTTTTTAAATATTTTATTTGATGTTTGTTTGCCAAGCATATTGATTAAGGGGAAAAACTGATGGTAAATTTATGGGCTAAACCATAGCGAAAGCTTGAAAACAATTGAACAGATCTCCAGCAAAGTCATCTCATGATGTGCAGAGGCCTATTGCCCTTAAATGCAAATTTCCCCAATGAGGTAAATACAGTTGAACCTCCAGCTGCAACCACCCCTCGTAAGTGACCACCTCTCCTCGGCAGCCAGTCTTCCAAAATACCAAGTTTCCACGTCAAATCACTATTTCTGGAACCCCTGTAAGTGACCACCTCTTGTAAGTGACGCAACCACTTTCAGAGCTAAAAGTTTGAATTTTCTTTTATTTGTTTTTAACCTCTTATACGCGAGCACTTGAGTGATGATAAAGCAGAAATTGGATAATAAGGTGTTGTAACATTATCGCATTCCTGGGTAGTACAAGAGATAGAAATTTCTCAATGGGAAGTAACACAGTTTTTCTCAAAATTGACTTTTCACAATGACATGAATAAAACATTTAAAACAAGGGGTAAGTCGATAGTCTCTGCAGTTACCATATGCTCTAATTTCATCTCATCCCTCATCATGCCCCGCAGGACACCCAAGGCCATATTTATTAGACAAATAACATTTATTCAATAAATATTGAAACTTTCAACGATGTCACAGTTGATGGTTGCATGAAACCAAGTGCAATCATCATGTTACATGTTATTTATTTATTTGTTTGTTTTTTTTAATTATTGAAGTTACCTCTAACTTTCAATTTTCAGCAAAAGATAATTGAACTCAAGGTGAAGGAATACAAGGAACTAGCTCAGCATGCCCAGAGTGAAATGGAGAAACTTGTTTGAAGCACACTTAGTTACATGTACACCTTTGTGTTTTTTTGAATAAATATCAGCTGTAAATAGATTAAAAGTTGCAGTAGCAGCATGGACATTGCTTCATACTTATAATTATTTGCTAATACTAATCTGTCAGTGTG